CCCCCTTGGGTCCCCTCCCACTGTGGGAGCTTAAGTGTCCTTTCAATAAATCCTGCTTTCTCAAAAATAAAGACAGGGTCTTGCTCAGTTGCCCAGGTTGGAGTGCAGTGGCATGGTCATAGTTCACTGCAGCCTCAACTTCCTGGGCTCAAGCAATCCTCCTGCCTCATCCTCCTGAGTCTCTGGAACTACAGGTGCGCACCACCATGCCTGGTTAATTTTTTAAAAATTGTTTTAAGCCGGGTTCGGTGGCTCAGCCTGTAATCCCGCGCCTTTGGGAGGCTGAGGGGAGTGGATTGCCTGAGCCCGCGGGTTCGAGACCCGCCTGGGCAGCGAGACCTCATCTCTACAATAAATCAAAAAAGCAGCCAGGTGTGGTAGCGCGCGCCTGTAATTCTGGCTACTCGGAAGGCTGAGGCAGAAGGATCACCGGAGCCCAGCAGGTCGAGGCTGCGGTGGCCGGGAGCGGCCACTGCACTCCAGTCTGGGCGACAGAGTGAAACTCCAACTCAAAAAAAAAAAAAAAAATTGTTTTAGAGGCAGGGTCTCATTATGTCACCCAACTCAAACTCCTAACTTCAAGCAGTCCTCCCAAAGTACTGGAATTACAGGAGTGAGCCACTGCAGCTGGCCTGACATTTCTTTTAAAACAAAAGATCTGAAAGCAACATAACAAAATGTTATAATTTATTCATTTCGAGTGAGAGGCAAAGGGTCTCTTCATGTATCAACCCTTGCATTTTTTTCCTTACTTTTTCAAGATTAAAAAAAAAAAAGACCCTTGCCTAACTACTCCTCCAACCTAAAAGAATGCTGAAGAATAGCAAAGCTATTTCGAAAAAAAAAAAAGATGAAAGAGAATACAGTCGTCTCTCAGTATATTTGTTCCAGGATGTTCCAGGACCCCCTTGGATACCCAAGTCCCACAGTTGACCCTGCAGAACCTGAGAATACTGCCCAGTATTTTGCATCCCAGGCTGGTGTAGTCCACAGATGTGGAACTTCGATATGGAGAGCTGACTTTTTAGAGAAGTGGTCCTCCAGAAAGCAGGAGACAATGAGAAGATTCAGGAACAAAGACAGGTCTGTCATGGTGGCTCGTGCCTACTGTAATTCCAGCACTTGGGGGGCTGAAGCAGGAAGGTTGCTTGAGGCCAGGAGTTCAAGGAACAAGAATAGCATGAATCTGGAAGAGGAACCAATAAACATATCAACAAACAGCAATACAAGAACAGGCCCGAGACTCTATGGGAACTTATTGAATGAGAGAGAATACATTTTCAGCGGCTGCAGAAATAAAACAATCTTGTGCTGGTACAATGAACATCGGAAAAAAAAAAAATCAAGTTAGATATCCACCCCATGCCTTTGACTAAAAGAAATCTAAGTCAGACTAAGATTTAAATGTTGTAAAGATGAAATGGGAAATTATATTGTTTGGGAAATTCTGAGACTATCACGTGATACATGTGACCGCAAACTGCGTTAAGTGCTATGAAATATGGGCGGGTTGGCCGGTCTTGGTGGCTCCCAGCACTTTGGGAGGCGGAGACGGAGGCAAGAGGACTGCCTGAGCCCAGAGGTTCGAGACCAGCCTGGGCAACTTGGCAAGACCCCATCTCTACAATAAAATAAATAAATTAGCCAGGTATGGTGGCACATGCCTGTAGTTCCAGCTACTTGGAAGGCTGAAGCAGAAGGATTGACTGAGCTCAGCAGGTCAAGGCTGTGGTGACCGTGTATGTGCTACTGCACTCCAACCTGCATGACAGAGTGAGATTCCTACTCCAAAAAAAAAAACAGTGTGTGAGGGTTGGGGGATGCTGGGAAGGGAAGGCTGAGGAGGCCCCCTTAAACATGCTGCTTCAGCAGGAGATGAAGGATGTGCAGACGTGCATAGGACGTGCAAATGGATGGCCCAGAGCAGCCCTGACATGCAGAGGAGAGGCAGGAAGCAGCCTGGGCCTCGGAGCAGCGGCCCAGACGGGAGACCAATGCAGGGGCTGGGGGTGGGGACAATCAGGAAGGAAAGCAGAGCCCAGACGCTGCCATAGAGCCTGGGCTGTCCTCCCAGACCATGTCAGCTCTCTAGAATACTTATGCCCAAGGGCTAAAGACTGCTTGAGCCAGCCAGTGACTTCTAAAATCAATGTGAACCCATCACACACAAACCCTCTACCGTCCAACAAAAATATAGAATGTGAGCCCCATGTGTAACTTAAAATTGTCTAAAAAAAAAAAACCAAAAGAGAAATGGGTGAAATTATCTTTAATAATATCTCTTATTTAACTTATTATGTCCAAAATATTATCATTTCAATAATGACTGTTACTTTTAAATCATGGATATATTTTTCATTCTTTTTTCCACATATCTTCAAAATCTGATATGTATCTTATACTTATGGCATGCTTCAATTAATATGCCATATTTTATTATTATTATTTTTTTAGAGACAGAGTCTTACTCCCACCTCAACCTCCAAGTAGTTGGGACTACAGTCAGGTGCCACCACGTCTGGTTAATTTTTTTTTTTTTTGGTAGAGATGGGGTCTTGCTGTGTTGCCCAGGCTGGTTTTGAACTCCTGGGTTCAAGTGATCCTGCTGCCTTAGCCTCCCAAAGTTCTGGGATTATAAGTGTGAACCACCACGCCTGGTCAAGACACCTTTTTTTTTTTTTTTGAGTCAGGGTCTTACTCTGTCACCCAGGTTGGAGTGCAATAGCACAATCACAGTTCACCACAACCTCAACCTGGACTCAAGCAATCCTTCCACTTTAGACTCCCAAGTAGCTGGGACTACAGGTGTGTGCCACTATGCTCAGCTAATCTTTTAATTTGTTTGTAGAGATGAGGTCTTTTCTATGTTGCCCAGGCTGGTCTTGAATTCCTGGGCTCAAACAATCCTGCCCCATTGGCCTCCCAAAGTGCTGGGATTACAGGTATGAGCCACCACATCTGGCCCTAAGACACCATATTTTAAATGGTTACAATAAAATGCAGTCCTACCCAGACAATAAAGTGCTTGACAAAAAAATATTTTCTTCTGGCTCAGTTTTAAAACTTAAAGATAAATTAAAAACTCAGGTCCTCATTCACACAAACACACCGCATTCAGGAGCTCGGTGGCCACATGAGGCTAATGGCTACCTTCTTGGATAGTACAATCTAGACTGCATCAATCCTGGTGTATTCCTTCACTGGGCACAGATATTGATAAAAACTACAGTTCTGCTGGTGGCTCATGCCTGTAATCCCAACACTTTGGGAGGTGGAGGCAGGAGGATCGTTTGAGCCCAGGAGTCTGACACCAGCCTGAGCAACATAGCAAGACCTCATCTCTACAAAAAATAATTTTAAAAATTAGCCAGGTGTAGTGGCGCATACCTGTAGTCCCAGCTGTTCAGGAGGCTGACACCAGAGGATCACTTGAGCCCAGGAGTTGGAGGCTGCAGTGAGCTATGATTGCACCACTACCCTCCAACCTAGGCAACAGAGTGAGGCCCCAAATAAATAAATAAATAGCCTACAGTTCTACAGTCTGTTTGCACTCAGATCTCACCACCTAATAGATGTGAGACCTCAGACATAATATCCCTAGTCTCTGTCTGCTCATCTATAATAGGAACTTGCATAATATCCTTAGCCTCTGTCTGCTCATCTGTAAAATGGGGAGAGGTGTGTTACATATATGCTAATAACCTCTCTCATAGGTTTATGCATGAAAGAAGACATGAAAAGCGCAGAGACTGGCACATAAGCGCTCAACAATTTCATAACCTTTATTGTTATTACCTTTATTACAGATCGCCCTAAAAGGAAGAAGTCCCCAGCGAGACATGGTTTCCTACAAAACAACAGCTTCCTGAGAAAGACACCAAATGAAAGCTCCAGCTTCCAAGTTTCATGGACGGTTGGAGCCAGCTCTTGCCTCTGAGAAGGTGGGGTGTGGCCTCACACCTCATTTTCAACCTCTCATCCTGGTCCAAGACGTTTTAGGTGTCAGACCTCCAGACAGCCTGGTTTTATTCAGCACAGACATGGAAACCAAGACCCTGTGAACGTGCTCCTTCCTGGCACGGACAGTTGTAATGTGTGTCCTTGAGGCCTCATCTTCCTCTGGGACCCCAGCCTCCGTCCAAGCACATGGTGCTCCTGGGAACCCCCTGCCGTGGACTCAGTCCCTCCACAACTGTGCATGGCTGACTGGATAAGGAGGGCCTACACCTGAACAAGCTGGACCAATCAACCTTCCCCAAGGATCTTTGAAACCGGATCCACGAAAGGAGACCTCACTATGGTAAAACTTGTGGATGTGAGCGAGGGAGCTGTGGCCTTGCTATTTCTGGCCACCTGGATAAAGTCAGCCTGAGAGAAGGAGTCACAGAGGCAGGGACAAGGGAACAAGAGAATCCAGACAGTTCCTGGACGCAAGGACCTCTGGATCCCTGCTGCAAACCTGCTCTTCCCACAGCACGGCTGCTGCCTTATACATTCTCTTTTCACCCTAACCTAGTTCTAGCTGGGCTTCTGGCTCTTATAACTTCAAGGACGCTGAGGGAAAAGAGGGGTGGAGGAACTGGACAATGCTGACAGGCTGCTGGAAAATGACAATGTCACTGATGTCTGAAGAAAGATAACGATTGAGTGAGAAAGAACTCGAAGGAGGCTAAGGGCAGACGGGTGGAGATAGTGCCCCGAAAACAGAGGGGAGACCACCTCCTCAGACTCCGGGAGAAAAGGCCAGAAGAGAGATCGGACCATCTTCCATCCATGCCTCTGCCGAAGATTGAAACTCTGAGCAGTCCTCTCTCCATCTATGTCAAAAATTATTACAGAAAGTAACTTAAACACACCATTCATTCATTCATTCCTCTAAGTAATGCAGTGTTGTATCAAGGTCAGTTGGAACCACACAAGACTATCTCTGTAGACCTGAATGTTTTGCATCCCTAAACAACTGGAATCACAGATGTCTGCTTTGGCATAGTATCCACTGTTTATGCAGGGGGAAGAAAATTCACAAGAGATTTGCCGTTGCATTTCTTTCAATGTTGTTTTTATTGAGGAACCCACCTACTACATCTCGCATACAAAGATCCATCAAATAAATTTCTAAATGCCTGAAAAAGCTTTATTTCCCCTGAGAAGTAGACATGCTCATCCAAAACAGACAACACAAGTCATTTATTAGCTGGAATCCGCCTGCCTTTTTAAAGTGACAGACATGTGAGACGTAAAGGTACAGGACACTGAATAACTCTGGCAGCTTCTGTAGTGTACCCACCCTGTCCTTCTCATGGATCCTGACTTCTGTTTGCATTTTGTTTTCTTGGGTGCATTCTTATAAGCATCCTGAAACCCCAGGTAAAAACAAAGTGCAGGAAAAAGAAATGTCACACTCACCTGGGACATGATTCTCCTCTGCTGTTCTGGGAGAGCAGACACCTGTGAAGGTAGACAGTGGGTGGGGGAGAGAGGATGTGAGATGCCAACCTTGCTCATGACCTCCTGATTGACTGCTGGGACACCCCAAGCACATGTGAAAAACAGACTTCTCTGAAGGAGCCCAGTTATCAGAGCAAAGCCCTCACCTGAGGAAGGTGATGGAGACCCAAATTTGTGAGGCTTGAAGCTGGATTTTTCTTTTTGCTGAATGAATATGTTTATCTGTATCTTAATCAACATGAGATTTACTATAACCTCTCCCATTATCCAGACATGTAATTAATAGAAACGTATTCTGAAGAAACAGTCATGCATTCAGGCAAAGATTTTAGTTGCCAAGATATTTATTACAATTTGGTAAAACTGTGAAAAAAACAGAAGTAACTAAATATCCCATTATAAAGGACTGGTTAAATAAATATATGACAGCCAAAGGAAAAAATAGTATGTCGCTAATAAAGATAAAATCCAGGGGAACTCAAATCACTCTATGAGAAAGATACCTGCACATGCATGTTTATTGCAGCATTATTTACGACAGCAAAAACATGGAACCAACCGTGCTGCCCATTAAAGAGGACTGGAAAAAAATGTGGTACACATACATGATGAAATATGACGCAGCCATAAAGAAGGACAAAATTATGAACTTCGTAGTAAGTTGGATGGACTTAGAGGCTATGATACTGAGTGATCTATCACAGAAACAAAGAACAGAGTATCACAAGTTCTCACTCATAAGCGGACCTTGAACAACGATCGTAATAAAGGGATTGGCAGTGGTGGGAAACTGCCAGGGGAGGGGGAGGCATACCTCATCAACAAGGGTACCTGCATAATGAACATTTGTATACTTAACCCTGAATTATACCCCACATATTTAAAATAAAAAAATTGTTTAAAAAGATAAAATCATAGAAAACGATTTGTTGACAGCATATTGACAATTGAAAAAGGTGGTTGAAAACTATTAGCTCACACACACACTCATAATTTTGGAAATGACATAAGATGCTGGTAGTAGTTAGCTTTATGTAGTAAAAATTATTTTTAATTTTCTTCTTTGTACTTAGATGAATTTGCTAAGTTTTTCTATGACAAACAGATATTTCAGAGATAATTTCTAAAGTTATTTTAAAAATTAGTTGACTACAGCTTACTAATCTTTTTGAGTCAGAGTCTCACTCTGTCACCCAGGCTGGAGTGAAGTGGCATGCTCACGGCCACTGCAGTCTCGACCTCCTTCCATCTCAGCCTTCCAAGCAGCTGGAACCACAGGCATGCGCCCCCATGCCCAGCTAATTTTTTGTTTATTGTAGAGATGCGGTCTCGCCATGTTGCTCAGGCTGGTCTTGAACCCCTGAGTTCAGGCAATCCTCTCGCCTCCATCTCCAAAGTGCTGGGATGAAAGGCGTGAGCCACCGCGTCCGGCTAGTTTACTAATCTTCTAACCCAAAGCTTCTATCACAATCCTGCCCTCAGAGTTAAGGAAATTCACAGGAAAATATAAAAATGGGTTCCTATAGGCAGAGTTCATTAAGTGTAGGTGAGAGCTGCAAATAGCACTGAACAAGGAAAAAACGGTGCCACCTTTCCTTGACTTCCTCTCCTCATATCCTGACCCTAGAGGAGAAAGCAGTTCAGGGAAGAGAAGGAAGAACCAAAGGCCAAGGAGGGGTGGGGACGGAGCAGACTGCCGCCACTTCCTGGGAGTGGGAGGGGGGAGGGTGGCCCCAGGTTTGCAGCTCTGCAGGGAGGAGGGAGGAACTTAAAACCAGATAGAACACATTCATATCTGTATCAGCACGGGAGGTGAGACCATTCCTTATCATCACCTAAAATGACCGAGCAGCTATGGGGTCTCCTAAGACAGCAGCATCCTGGTAGAGAAGTATTGTTGTATGTCGAATTGCATCCCCTGAAAAAGACATGCTGGAGTCCTAACACCCAGTACCTCAGAATATGACCGTATCTGGAGGCAGTGTCTTTGCAGAGGCGATCAAGTTAAAACGCCACTCACCAAGGTGGGCCTGACGCAACAGGACTGGGGCCCTTATCAAGAGGGGAAACGGAGACACAGGGAGAACGTCGTGTGAAGATGAAGGTGGAGGTCAGGGTGATGCATCTACAAGCCGAGGAATGCCAGAGACTGCCAGCAACCACCAGGAGCTGAGGAGAGGCCTGGACAGAGTCTCCTCATGGCCTCAGAAGGAGCCAACCCTGCTGACACCTTGACCTCGGACTTCCAGCCTCTAGAACTGCAAGACAACACATTTCTGTTGTTTAAGCCCCCTGGTTTGTGGTACTTTCTTATGGCAGCAACAAGAAATGAATACGGGAAGGCTGACCCGACAGAGTAAGTGCAAAACAGTAGCTGAAGACGTTTTGCTCTATTTCCTGTTTGGATACATTGATTACAGCACAAGTAATGGGTTTTTGCAAACATATATCTATAAGGAAAATGTCTGTAGAAAACACACAAAATATTAACAATGGTTATCTTTGCAATGTAAGATTTTTTTTTTCTGAATGCAGTGACATTTCCTACTTTTTCAAACAATAAGTATGTGCTCATTGTTTAATATGAAAGTATTCTATAAAAATATACATACATCATCGTGCTGTGCTTTCTGCCCATGAGCTCCGACCAAGTCCTTCCCCTGGAAAAAAGGAAATCCACAAGGAGAGCAGAAGGTGTGTGTAGGGGGTGAGGTTTTAGGGACAAATTGTGGAACAGTGGGAAAAGTCCCACTTGGACAGGATTCCTGGGCTCTAGTGCTGGCTTGGCCTCTAGTGAGCTGGGCAGCTCTGATCACCTCTCCACACGCACTTTCTTTCCTTTATTTTTATTTGTATTTTTTGAGACAGGGCCCTGCTCTGTCACTCAGGCTGGAGTGCAGTGGTGCAATCACAATTCACTGAAGCCTCAGAACTCCCGAGCTCAGGGGATCCTCCCGTCTTAGCCTCCCCAAGTAGCTGGAACTATGGGTACATGCCACCATGTCCGGCTAATTTTTGTACAGACAGGGTCTCCTACGTTGCCCAGGTTGGTCTTGAACTCCTGGCCTCAAGTGATCCTCCCAACTCAGCCTCCCAAAGTACTGGGATTACATGTGTGAGCCACCACGCTCAGCTACCCATTTTCTTTATTTTTAACATGAGAAGGAAAATCAAAAAAACTGTATATCTAGAGCATAAAGGGGTGTACATCTTGCCAGAAGCCAGGCACGGAGGTGCCAGGGGGACAGGCAGAGCTAACGCTCTGGTTACACAGACAGGAGAGGATGAGAATAACTGCAGGTGATTCAGAGACAGCTTGGATGGAGACTATCCCCAAGTGTCAGGGAGAACCTCTGGTTCCTCTCCCATTCCCCACACACCCTAATGCAAGATGTTCTTTCCCCTCCTAGCAAACCTTCCACTAAACTAAATCCTGTGTGATCCCTTGATGTGACATCACCCAAGCTCACTCTGTCAACCAGTGGGTCAGGGGCTGTTGCAGGTACACGGGCCTTGGGCGCTGCCGCCTTCTGGGCGACTGTCCAGCTTCAGTCCTAAGCTATATAAGAGGTTGCAGAAGAGGGGTCTCACGTTCCAAAGTAGATTCCTGCTCTTGGGGTCATTTTCTTTACAAGAATTGTTTTTTTTGTTTTTGTTTTGAGTTATAGTCTCACTCCATCACTCAGACTGGAGTGCAGTGGCACGCTCCCGGCCACTGCAGCCTTGACCTACTGGGCTCTGGCTATCCTTCTGCCTCAGCTTTCCAAGTAGTCAGAACCACAGGTGAGCGCTACCACGCCCGACTAATTTTTGATTTATTGTGGAGATGAGGTCTCGCCAAGTTGCCCAGGCAGGTCTCAAACTCACGGGCTCAGGCAATCCACTCACCTCAGCCCCCCAAAGTGCTGGGATTACAGGCTGAGCCACCGAGCCTGACCACAAGAGTTGTTTTATTCCTGGCATGCCTGAGTCTTGAAAACTTGGGCACGTTCACATGGTTGCCAAAGCTCTGCTTTCCTGCTGAGAACTTACCTTCAGCTGGAGGCTTAGCCTCTGAGATGCTCTGGAGGGTGGAAATGAACTTGACTGTGCAGAGGAGAGAGCTACCTTAGTCACCAAGTCTGATCCTAAACTTTTGCATAGACACTAGGAAAACCTGGAAGTAGAACAACATGGTGAGGCTCACGTGAAAACAGCAGGGCACCTTTACCTCTGGTGAAGAGAAGCTGACGGGTGGTAGAAGAGAAGGTCGGCAGGACTGGAAACACAACACAGAAGTGACGTTGTTTCTGGCTTTGAAAATGGAGGGACTCCATGAAAAGGAAAGCAAGTGGCCAAAGGAGCTGAGAGAAGCCCCAGCTGACAGCCAGCAAGGAACTGGGGACCCGGGTCCTAAGGCCAAATTCTGCCAACCCTCTGAATCCGTTTGGAAGCAGACTCTTCCCAAAGCCTCCAGGTGAGAGCCCCGCCCGTCCAACACCTCCATGTTGGCCTGGTGGTATCCTGAGCATAGAACCTAACCAAGCCCACCTGGACTTCTGACCTACAGAACTCTGAGCTAGTAAATGGGTATTGTTTCAAATCACTGGATTTGTGGCACTCTGTCACACAGCAATAGAAAACTAATACAGGGCCAAGGGCAGTGGTAATTCTAGGCTTTAAGAGACTGAAGTAGGAGGATTGCTTGAGCCCAGGAGTTCGAGACCAACATAGACAACAGTGAGATCGTGTCTCAATAAAAAGATTTTAAAAATCAGGCTGGGTGCAGTTGCTCACGCCTATGATCCCAACGCTTTGGGAGGCAGAGGTGACAGGATTGCCTGAGCCCAGGGCTTTGAGACCAGCCTGGGTAATTTGATGAGACCTTGTCTCTACAATAAATTTTTTAAAAATTAGCCAGAGGTGGTGGGCGCATGCTTGTAATTCCAGCTACTTGGAAGGTTGAGGTAGAAGGATGGCCTGAGCCCGCCCAGCAAATCAAGGCTGTAGTAGCCATGAGCGTGCCACTACACTCTGGCCTGTGCGACAGAGTAAGACTCTGACTCAAAAAATAAAAAATAAAAAAAATTAGCTAGATGTGGTGGTGTGCACTGATAGTTCCAACTACTCAGGAGATTGCAGGTCCAGGTGGTTGAATCGTGCCACTGCACTTCATCTTGGGCAATAGAGTGAGACCCTGTCAATCAACAAATCAATAAATGGAAAAAACGAATATAGACCTTCCCTGGGTGCTTGGGGCTGGGCAGGAGACCAGAGGGAAGTGGCTACTGTGGGGGAAAACACATGAAGCTCTATCCAGAATTTTCTCTTCCGAGGAATAAAAGCCTTACACTCCTAGGGGAATGGCAGCCAACCTTGTTGTCCCCAGAGTACAGGTAAGATCCTCTGCATTTCCCTTTGAGAGAGGCAGGAATATGTCCTAGGCTTGGGCTTAGAGGTCTCCTACCCCTGGGGGAGGGTCAGGATCACTGACACTCAGGGGCTCAGGGTTCACCTAAGACTGAGACAACAGAGAACATCCCTCCACCGCCAGGCTAGCAAGTGTGGAGCAAAAAGCCCAAGCGGTCAACACGAGGAGGGAGTCGAGAAGGAAAAGCCTCACTGGAGGCACTAGTTGATGCTACAGCACTGTGAAGCTAGTGGGTTCACTGGAGGTAGCCATAGTAACAAGCCCACCGCCCACTCCACTCCTGGCTAGACCCAGCTTGAGCACCTTTCTGGCCTTCCCACTCTATCAGAATAACAGTCCAGCAGAACCTGGCTGGCCCATGTCCTAGTCTCCTCTGTCCTACGCACGACATCTAGCCTTCTAGAAAAAAGGACGAGACGTGCAAAGAGTGAGAGAAAATAGAAGCCCAGTGCAAAGACAAAGCAATGAACCTACTGCATCTTAGATCTATATGTGCTGTAAAGGCATATAAAACAGATACAATGAGGAGAAACTGACAAATCCTCTGTTGCAGTAAGAATTTAATATATACACTTAGAAACTAGGATCTAGAACACAAAAATCACAGTAAGGATATACAAGATACGAGTAACAATTTAAAAGCTCAATCTATTAGATAGAGACAGAAATGTGCACTCAATAATTAGAAAATATATTTTCTTTTTAAGCACATCTGGGATATTTATAAAAATTGACAAGCTAAAAAATCAAACCTCAACAATTATCAAAATAAAAAATATATAGTATATTGCCTAGACCCCACTCTGATGCAAAAGGCAACAGAATTAGATAATAAAAGGAATGCAAAAATATTTAAACTACTAAACATTAAATGAAATGAATCCATACTCAAAAATATACCCATCAGAGAAACAGCAGGCCCATGTGCGTTTTTAATAATCTATCAAGCCGGGCTCGGTGGCTCAGCCTGTAATCCCGCGCCTTTGGGAGGCTGAGGTGAGTGGATTGCCTGAGCCCGCGGGTTC